CAGCTTTAGAAGACGCCCTCCGCATTTGCAGATCCGAGCGGGAGAGTGAGTCGGAGACATCGACGCTTATGGTGGCGAGGTTAGAGGAGCGGATCCAGAATCTGGAGGCAGAGTTATCTGGATTGAATGAGCAGGTCGTTACCTTGAAGGCTGAGGAGGTGCGACGGCAGTCACAGCCATCCACGTCTTATACTTTTTCCGATCCCGGCGTGCCGCGGGAGTTGTATGAGATGTGGGTTCACACCGAGGCTCAGCTCGACGTGTATAAGTCTTTGAAAGTCGACGGGAAGATTTCCGAAGCAGAACTCGAGGGCGTCCGTGTTAAGGCACGTGCTGCCCATTAAGCTTATGGTTATGCCCCTGGTACGCCTGGTGGGGATGATGTTGACGATGATGCGGATAGGCTTGCCTTCGATTCTTGGTATGATTATAAGTATGCCGATGGGGATGACGCGCTGTAAAAGTCGTCATACTTAGTTTTTTGTTTTGTTTTTCTATTTTTGTAAGGGCGTCTTTGGGCCCTTTGTAAAAAGTATTGTAACTTGACAGTTGTAATGGAACAGCCCCCTTTTTGCTACGCGTTTCTTGATTTCCGTTCTCTTTTCTTTTTGTTATGTGAGGAAGTCCTTGATTTTTTGATAAGATCGATGTTCGACGCGGTTGAACATTGAAGACTTCGAGCGAAGTCGCATGCAAAACAATTCGAGCAAGGTCGAATGTAAAACAATTTTCGAGCGAGGTCGAATGTAAAGTAATTCGAGCAAGGTCGAATGTAAAACAATTCGAGCGAGGTCGAATGTAGAGTAATTCGAGCAAGGTAGAATGTAAAAAACGATTCGAGCGAGGTTGAATGTAAAGTAATTCGATCAAGGTCGAATGTAAAACGATTCGAGCAAGGTCGAATGTAAAACGATTCGAGCAAGGTCGAATGTAAAGTAATTCGAGCAAGGTCGAATGTAAAGTGTGAAAAGACTTGGTGGAGTGTAAAAATGCTATTTTATTTCATTTATTGGAGAATATTACATGTGTCCTTTGTTTCATACATATATTGGAGAAGTTTCCATATATCTAGTCCCTTCATCGTTCGGCTTGGAGAAGCAGTCGGCAGGCAGGGCGATGAACTATACTTGAACTTCGAGACGTCCCCTTTGTTGCCTCATTAAAAACCTTTCCGACAAAACCCAACTGGGACAAAACCCGGATGAGGGAAAAAGAGTACGACGCGGAGGGTGTCTGTTTTCAGAAGTTGAAGTATTTGAGATGGGCGACGTTCCAATTGTTTTATAGTAGTTTTCCCTCCATCGTTTCCAGCTGAAAAGATCCTTTGTTTGCTGCTGCCGTGATTTTATATGGCTCGCCCAATTGGTTCCTAGTTTGCCTTCTCTCGAATCTTTGCTCGCTTGTGTTTTAGCCTTGAGTACATAGTCTTCGACTTTGAGTGGTCGTACTTTGGCTTTTTGGTTGTAGTACCGTTCTGCTTGTTGCTTTTGGGCTACTATTCTTATGTAAGCCATGTCTCTTCACTCCTCTGCTTCGTTAAGGTCCTATTTTCCATTTTCGTTATTGTTTGGCCCGCTTTCATTGGAGTATCTCAAAATGGGTTCACCGACCTCAACCGGTATCATGGCGTCAGTCCCGTAGACTAGTGAGTATGGCGTTTCTCCTCTGCTTGTTTTTGGCGTGGTGTGGTATGCCCACAGTACCTCTGGTAGTAATTCGGGCCATATTCCCTTGACATCCTCAAGTTTTTTCTTCAAGATATTCAATATTGTTTTGTTGGAGGATTCAGCCTGACCGTTACCGGCAAGGTGATATGACGTGGAGAGTATTCGCTTGATGTGCCATTTTTCGAAGTACTTGGCGGTCTTCTTTCCGGTGAACTGGGGTCCATTTTCACAACTGATTTCTTTAGGGATGCCGAAGCGGCATATGATGTCTTTCCATATGAATGTGATAATTTCTTGTTCACGTATTTGGGTGAACGCACCTGCTTCTACCCATTTGGAGAATTTGTCAGTTAATCCAAAAGAAAACATACATTACCTCGCCCTACTGGGAGGGGTCCTACGATGTCCATTCCGCAGTTGATGAACGGCCATGGCGATGTAACAGAAGGGAGGTGCTCGCCGTCTTGGTGTATTATAGGGGCATATTTCTGGCACTGTTCGCACTTCTTGACATAATCGGAAGCTTCCTTCTTCATTGTGGGAAAATAATATCTTGCTCGAATAAGGCATCTGACGAGGGCCAGATTGCCTGTATGGGCACCGCAGTGGCCTTCGTGTACTTCCGCGAGTACGCATCTTGTTTGATTCGGCCCTAGGCATTTCGCCAAGGGACCCCCAAACGTTCTTTTGTATAACTCATGATTTATGAGGTTGTACCTGGCCGCCTGCTTTCGAAGCTTTTTGGCTTCCTTTTTATCTGCTGGGAGTGCTCCTTCCTGCAAATATGTTATAATACGGTTGGGCCAGTCCCAAGCCAAATTTACAGAGTGTACCTCGAGTTGGTCTATCGATGAATGGAGGAGGGTGACCACGTTTTCCTTCGTGATGTTTTTGGTGGCCGCTGATAACTTGGCGAGACCGTCTGCCTCGATGTTTTGTTCTCGAGGTATTTGATCAAGTCGCATCTAATGACGATTCGCCGTGCTCCGTATTTGAGAGCTAGCTTTAATCCTACAATTACGACCTCATTGTTAGTCATATCGGGGCACCGTATGGATTGGCGAATGACTTCGCCTATTGGGACCTCGAGTACGAGTCCTAGTCCAGATCCTGACGCGTTGGATGCGCCGTCGGTGTATAAGACCCATAGGTCGGGAAAGCTGGACGAGATACGAGAAGTTTCTTGTTCGACCTCAGTCATTATCTCGGCATTGAAGTCGGCTAGTACCTGTGATTTTATCGCTGTTCGCGGCTGATATGTTATATCATGCTCGCTTAACTCTATGGCCCATTTGGCCAATCTCCCCTATAGCTCGGGTTTATGCAAAATACCTCATAGGTGGAAGGTCGTTACTACCGATATGGGGTGGCACTGAAAATATGGTCTAAGCTTCTGTGAAGCTATAACCAGTGCTAAGGCCAATTTTTCAAGGTGAGGGTACATCGTTTTGGCGTCAACAAGTTTTTTGCTAATATAATAGATCAAAGATTGCATACCTTTATCTTTGCGGACTAATACTGCGCTTACCGCGACCTCTGACACGGCTAAGTATATTACGAGGCGTTCACCGTGTTCTACTTTGGCAAGCAGCGGGAGCGAAGATAAGTACGCCTTTAGTTCCCTTAGGGCCTCGATGCATTCTGAATTCTATTGGAGCCTGTTTTCCTTTTTGAGCACGTTAAAGAACTTGTGACATCTGTCCGAGGATCGTGAGATGAATCTCGACAGGCAGCTATGCGGCCCGTCAATTTTTGCACATGTTTCTTGCTGGTTAAAACTTCAGGTATTCCCTCAATGGCCTTGATTTGGTCGGGGTTGACCTCGATGCCTCTTTATGACACCAAGAAGCTGAGGACTTGCCTGAAGTTACTCCGAAGGCACATTTTTCGGGGTTCAGCTTCATGTCGTATTGCCTTAGTATCCCAAAGGCTTCCTTTAGGTGATCGATGTAATCTTCCTTCCTTTTCAATTTGACTAGCATATCGTCTATGTAAACTTTCATAATTTTGCCGAGTTGGACCTTGAATATTTTGGTTACCAATCTTTGATAAGTCACCCTCGCGTTCTTTAAACCGAATGGCATGACCTGATAGCAGTACATTCCTTGATGGGTTATGAAAGTAGTCTTCTCCCGGTCCTCTTCCTCCATGAGGATTTGGTTGTAACCTGAGTAGGCGTCCAGGAAGCTCAACAACTAATGCCCTGCTGTTGCGTCAATTAGCTTATCGATATGAGGCAAGGGAAAAGGAGTCTTTCGGGCAGGCCTTGTTCCGTGAAATCCACGCACATCTGCCACTTCCCGTTTTTCTTTTTTACCATGACTACATGGCGACCCATTGAGGATACTTTAGTTCTCGGATGGAGCTGTTAGTGAGTAATATATCCACTTCTTCGCTGAGGGCCTCGTTTATTACGGCATTGAATTTTCTTCTTACTTGTCGTACTAGGGGGTAGAAGGGACCGACGTTCAACTTGTGCGTGGAAATGTCTTTTGGAATACCTGGCATATCTGCGTGGGAAAAGCAAACAGATCGGCATTATTGATTAAAAACTCATGAAATTTACCTAGTTCGAATAGCTTATGGCCTATGTAGGCCTTTTTGTTGCTGTTGCTGCTATCTAGTTGGATAGGATCGAGATCTTCTATTGTTGATCCCGCGGCTTCCACGACGTCGGGGTCCTTGATAACGCCTTTCTGATCGTTGAGTTCGGACCCCGACTTTAGTAATTGCTATGCTTCTGAGTTTGTTCCTTTCAGCTGTTGAGTGAATGTGCAATCTTGGGCGATGCGGTAGCATTCTTGGGCCGTGCGCTGTTCGCCTGGGACGCTAAATATCCCCCACGGGGTAGGGAATTTGATTACTTGATACAAAGTGGATGGGATAGCCTTCATGGCGTGTATCCATAGTCGTCCTATGATTGCGTTGTGAGTTGTGTCCTGGTTTATGACATGGAATGTTGTTTCTAAGGTGACGCCCCTGGCCAGAACGGGCAGCGTTATTTCTCCTGAGGTCCGTTCGACTGCATTGTTAAAACCTGTTAGTGTTATGCAGCGCGGTACTATCTTATCCTCGAGTCGCATTTGTGCAAGAACCCGAGGGTGAATAATATACGCGTCGCTTCCGTTGTCTACCATTATTCTTTTAACATCAGTATCTGAAATACGTAAAGTAATGACAAGAGCATCGGAGTGAGGGAAGATCAAACCGTTGGTATCTGACTTATCGAAGATGATACTTTCTTCGAGGTCATCGTACCGCTCGTAGGTGATTGACCGTTTGAGCTTGTGTGTGGTGGTAAACTTTATGTGGTTGATTGTTGTTTCGTCGCCTCTACCGATGATCATTTGAATGGTGCGGGCAGGAGAGGGCGGCTTTGGTGGGCCTTGGTGTTGTTCTCATCCGCGGCCAAAATTGGCTCTTCCTCGGTCGCACATCAATTCCTTTAGGCGCCCTTGGTGGAGCATGTTCACTACCTCTTGTCGTAGGGCAGTCCTCAATTTTGTGACCTCTCTCTTGATGAAATTCACAAAGGATATTCGACTTTCGGGCACTTGGGTCGGATTTCATCTTTTGCAGCCACTTCACCTTCGGGCTAAGCTTCTCTAGTGCGTACACTATCTCTGAAGGGGAAACACAAAAATTATGAGCAAATAAGAGCGGAGGCATACATTTTTCGTTCCGCTGAGTCCCTGTATGCGGCCTGGACGGTCCTTCCACATGGCGAGGAGATAGTGGGACGCGGTTCTGACATAAGGTTGGTGCCTGTCTCGGTTGAAGCGGGGTCCTGACTGATCTCTTCGACCATCACTACGACGGTCCTTCCTCGGCTCTGTTTGAACCGATGTTAAGCGTTGTATCGGACCGTTGAGGTCGTCTTCGTCCGCTCTCACCTCGGCGCAGTAGGCGCTGTGAATTTCTTCCCAAGTGGTGGGAGGGTATTTCATGAGTCTGCTTAATAGTTTTCTTGTCGCCCTTGATCCGTTCCTATTCAACCCTTTCTGGAAAGCTGCTACCTCCATTCCTTCCGATACATTTGGTAAGCTCACTCTTACCCTGTTAAACCGGGCTAAAAGGTCCATGACTCCCTCGCTAGGCGATTGCCTGACGGCGAATATATCATTTACTCTGGCTTCCGCTTTCTTAGCTTCGGCGTGGGCGGTGACAAACTTGTCGGCCATTTCCTCGAACGTCGTTATAGACCGTGCCGGTCTTTGTGAGTACCAAGTTAGGGCTCCTCCGGTTAAGGTTTCGCCAAACTTTTTTAGTAGCACTGATGGTACTTGCTCCTTTGATAGGTCGTTGCCTTTCACTGTTATGATGTAGTGAATGATGTGATCTTCGGGATCCATCGTGCCATCATATATCTTCAAATATGGCAGCATTTTGAAGGTTTTAGGTATGGTATGCAGGGTTACCTCCTCGCTGTATGGTTGTTCGACGAATCGGCGGACATCCCATTTTGGTAGCAGTTTTGGGGCGCCCGTTATTTTATCGACCCTTTCTTGGTGTTCCCTCATCTGGTCGCGGAGCTCTTTGTTCTCGTTTTCCATTTCTTCCATTTTCATTAGGATGGTCGTGACTCATGAGTGCATCATTACCTGCATCAACTGTGGTGTGAGTGTTACCTGTTGGGGGAGCGGGTTGCTCACCTGTAGTCGTTATAATATCTGTCAGCGCGGCATTTCTATTCGCCCTTTGAACGGGTTTGTCGAGTATGTCATTGAGGTACTTGTCAGCCACCCCTCCAATAATTTCTTCACTGCTGGTGGTGCTTCCTCAGTCGTGGATGTGGAAGCTCCCCTTTCGCATGAAGCGGTTACACTTGCATGAGGAGGAGGTGAATCACTCCGCCTGGGTGTAGCATTTGGTGTTACATTCTCATCGTCTCCTCTGTTATCTTCGTTGATGGTGTCTAAGATGTTGGTAGTGACACTCATTATTGCTTTCTGTCTTTCATCTCCTTTTCCTGCCATTGTTAGTTTGTGCAGATGAGGAAAAGATGGTTGTCCCTTCTTTATGATCTAGAAGAAACAAAAATTTTAACTAAAAACTCCCCACAGACGGCGCCAAATTATTTGAACGAAAAGTGTTGAGCCTTTCAGTTAAACCAATTAATGATGAGATGAGAGATGAATCTTAGTTAAATATAACAAATTCTAGATCTAATGTTGAGGGGTATCGACTGTATAGATAATGTCTAATGGCAGTGAATATCAGATATGAGCTCAATGATTATCAATGTACGCTGCAATAATATGAACATGCAATAAATGTAATAAATGGCAATAAATGTAATAAAAGGGAGTTTATCACCCAAAGATAATGTGACTTGGATGATTCTCCCACCTGACAGCAACGTGGAAGGATGGGAGTCAAAAATGAATAATGAATCCTCGGATCTAACAAACGGAAAGTGAATAATATATGTTGAATTCAGTAGTCAGTGAACAAGACAATAGTTGTATATTCTTCTTTTTCAACTCTTTACAAAAATGTTCTTATCAGAGGCCAAGATCCTCTTTTTGTTCTCTATCTCTTCCTATTTATAAGGGATATTTTCCAAAAATCCTAAAAAGTACAAAATAAGGAATATCCTGAGGAATATTCCTTATATCCATATCTGAACTTATCCTACCGTTATTTCTTCACTTCAGCTGCCCGTCCTTGGTATCAGCCCTCTCGAGAATGGCTTCCGGCTATTACACCCCGGTCAACCCCGTCCTTGGTCCCGTTTATCCATTACTACCAGACCGCCAAATTCAGACCAATACAAGGGGGAAGGAACAGTAAAATGGGAATAGAACTAATATAGTTAGGAAGAAGAACTAAAGGAAATTGGATGGATGGGAATAATAGGAAAAGAATGGGGGGGAACACTATTAGAAATCCAGTAAATACCGACCAAAAAAACCGACCAACTTTGGTCGGTTATGGCCAATTACCGACCAAAACGCGACCAAATACGCTTGGACGGTATTTTGATGGTCGTTTTAATATACCGACCAAAGTTGGTCGGAAATTACCGACCAACGTTGGTCGGTAAACTAAATTCAAAAAAGAAATATTGCGACCAAAGTAGGTCGGTATTTTAATTATGTAATCAAAAGGTTCACGGTCAGGGAATTGAACCGGGGTGTGTACAGTGGCAGGATACTATTCTACCACTAGACCATTGGTGCGTTTTATTTTAAGATTGTCTTTTTTATTTATTTATACTCTATAATTGTATTTTCGCACGAAAATAACCAACCAAAGCTGGTCGATTTTATTAAATAAATAAAATTACCGACCAAAGTTGGTCGGTTTTTTAAAATGACTAGCCGAATTTACCGACCAAAGTTGGTCGATTTTTTTAATATTAATTTTTATTTATTTTAATTGCTAAAACCGACCAAAGTTGGTCGGTTTCCTGAAAAATAAATTTCGCGGGACTCAAAAGTAGTTTCCCGCATTTTTGCGCCAAAGAAAACCGACCAAAGATGTCGGTTTCGTAAAAAAATTAAAAATTAAAATATTTTGAAAAACCGACCAACTTTGGTCGGTTTTTGGCCAGTTTTTTTACCGACCAAAGTTGGTCGATTTTTCTTGGTTGGTTTTTGCCGAATTTCTAGTAGTGGAAGGGGAAGGGGGAATGGGAAGAATGACAAAAGGGGAGGAGCAGGTTGAAAGTGATAATTTTTTTTTTCTTTTTCTTTTTTGCTTTTCCTTGTAAATTTTTTTTTTGATTAAAAATCTATTTAACGAAAATCAATAGATTTACACGCCATATGAATGTGACTTGCACGCACTTTGTCCACGTAAGATAAGCTACTGCCACATCAGCATAGTCAATGGTTAAATGTGTTAATTAATAGTTATTCCATCAAATGTGAGTGTTCAAATGGGAAAATGAAGAGTTCATGTATGGGCGTTAAAATTGGGTGCAAGTTTAAGGGGATAGGAGGTCATTTTACCAAAAGTAAAAAACGCTAAACTTAAGAAACGTTCTATGAATGCTTTAAGGAAATGGAGAAAAGAGAGAGGGAAGCATCTGTTTTAATCGTGCATTGCCATAGCCCATATACATGTCCTGAGGAATGCTACAGTATAAGTCTAATTCCCAACAGTCATATTCTGAGGGGGAACCCTAATTTTAAAGCAAGGCACATAACATTACAACAATATTAAGAAAGGCACTTGGTACGACCCAGTGATTCCTTCTCTCCCTACCAAGGCATTGCATCAATAAAACATCAATCTTTCATTAAATTTGTTATCCATCATCATGGCATTTTTAGGCCAAATTGTCTGGCATAGTTTATTGTCCAAGCCGGAGTGTAGCAATCGCCAAAGCGTTCCACCATTAAAAGCTCAAAATGCAGCAATTGGAAAGACATACGAACAAAAATTCAAGCTAGGATGTATCAGGAGCAAAAAGAGGTCCTTGGTCACGCTTTCAATGCTCAATCCTGATACTTGCACAGGTTCATTTTCCGCATCTAACACAATTAGAAAGTACTACTCTAGCTTAAACAACAAGGACTTGAACCAACTGGCACTGCTCATATCTGAAGATTGTTTCTTTGATGATTTCTCCTTTCCTCAATCATTTCAAGGGAGAAAGGTTTGCCCCTAATTTTTCCATTAATAATAACATGAATTACACTCTAATTAATCCGACTCTATATATAGCTCCCTTTTGCAAATTTATGCAGGAGATTTTAAAAATTCTGGAGCAACTAATCGCGAGCATGAACACAGAGTTCAGCATAGACAACATTTATGAAGGTGTTGATCTTACAGCAATAGTAAACTGGCATTTAGGTAATCACTACTTTTTGAGAGTGAATTAGAATTGCATTTTTTTTTAATTACTGGTCATTAATCATATTGAATTACTCCTAAGTGGTGCTGTCTTGATGGAATCAAATAACCAAATAGACTCCTCAAATGGATCGACGATACCAATTATTCAATGATATGCTAAAATTAATTGTAACCAACTCATTTCTAGAAATGTATAGATTAGACGCTTAAATTGAAAGAGTATACTTGTAATTGCAGAGTGGAGGAAGAAGGAACTTCCTTTTACTAGAGGTTGCAGCTACTATGAATTATCAAGAGATGGAGAAGAACTACTCATTAAGTAAATAATTAAAACCCATTTTTAGTTTAAGCCTCTTACTTTATCAGCACAAGCTTAAATACTGAGTGACATATAATGCATGCAGGAATGCTCAAGTTATTACTGACTCATCTATGAAACCGATATTTTTGGTATGTTTTTTTTTTTTTCTTTTTCTGTTTGTATAATAAACAAACTGAACAAGTTAATTAATAAGAAAGAATTGAATGTCTTTTCTGGGCAAGTGGAATCGCAAATTCTTGTTCAGTTCCTGTTTCATTAACACACGCCTTTCTTGTCGTGATAAAAAAAACAGGCACTGTACAAGATCGTAACTTCAGCATTTGATTACTTCCCAGAAGCAGCTGAGAGTATGTCAATTTCTTTATTTTCTCCACACTTCAAAATGGAGGAAGTTAAGAAGGAAAAATGATCAATTCTCACAGGGCATGCATTTTTTTCCCTTGCAGGATTTCGAAAGAGCCACCAAATGACGTATCAACTGTTAGCAAATGCTTACAAGATTGTGTTTTACCCATTCATAAGTCCAATTCTTGCATGGTATAAAAAGTTATGGAGCTTCACAGTCACCCTTCTTAGATTCACCAACAAATTAGTGCAGTTCATTATAAAAAGTTTCAGCAAATAGAACATAGTTACAGAGCAAGTTCAAGATTCTCCTCATTGATTTGGCTTTTATCAGCATGATCATTTCCTAGGGGTCATTGTATCAATATATCTTTAAACTTCGGTTAGCAGTTGTTACTTCTTGTATTGGATCGTATTGTTACTTTAAATATATAATGTTTGTTCGAGTCAATTGCTCAAATGATCATTCAATTATCTCAAATTATCTCCTAAAATCACTTTTCTTTAGTTTGTAACAACAAAGTCACTGAACTATGCCTATTGCACTCAGAAGGTCACTCAACTAGATTTTCCAGATTTTGGATTGCCAGATACCTATTTTACCCTCCAAATTATAAATATTTATCATCTTTTATTTTATTTTTTAAAACTTTTTAATATTAGGATTTTCCCTTTTTCGTTTATATTATGGACTTACCTATAGAATAAATAACTATTATTTATAAATTAAAAAAAATAAAAAAAAATTTAAGCATCTATAATGCTGGAATAACAAAATAATGAGCATAGTAAAAGAATTAATTAGAATAATTTATTTGTAATTATAATTTTAGTATTAAGAACAAAAATTCAAAATTTATTTACACAATTCAGAATAAAAGAAAATAAAGGTTGTAAAATATATATTCCATGCACGTAGTATAAAAATAATTATTTAAATAAAAGTATTTTTATAATATACATTATATATTCTTGAAAATTATGCTCAATTATATTATACAGATTAATTTACACTTTTATTTTGCAAGTTAATTTACACTTTTATTTTGCCATGTTCACAAAATCGTACAGATTAGCTAACAAAATTTGCATTTTTTTTTATTTTCTCTTTCTTAATTCATTTTGCTCTTTTTCAACTTTGATTAACAATAGAAGAGAAAAAGAAACTGCCATATTTTCTCTATCGTTCGACAACATCCTTTCTATCCCCCTACTCCCTGGCGCTAGCTTCAATTCGCAATGGTGAAGACTATGGTTGGATGTTTACTCATTTACTAAATTAAATTTATTTTAAAATATTTAACGATTAAAAAAAGTTACTTATTACAGTAGTTTTCTAATCACAATTATCTTTATTTTCTTTAATTGGTGAAGTATTGACTAAAGGAGATGTTTACTTTAGATAAATAGTCACGTAATAGGATATTAACTATATTTTTTGAAGAGTATGCAAAAACCTTTAAAAAATAGCTAATCGTTTGAAAACGGACACATTGCGATGGCCCGTTCTTTCGTCAGGTAGATACGTGGAAGGATCAAAAGAAACATATCAGTAAGCTTGGTTTCTTATTTCCCATTCTTTTCTTGAATTTCTGAGCATACGTCACACACTTTTAAGTAACAAGCTAGAACGACCTCTTGCTTCACCATCTCACGATTGAGTAACAAAATTACTCTGAATAAGGGTGTGTTTGGTAACGAACTAAAATATTTTTTTGGAAAATAAGTGGTTTTCTTACTTATTCAGAAAATATTTTTGAAAAATATACTCCATCCGTCTCAATTCATCCGTCTCAATTTGAAACTAGCGATCTTAAAAGTTTAAGGGGTAAAAACTTTGTGCGGCCATGACATTTATGTGGTTATAAAAGCTTCTCATTAAGGGTAAAATGAAAAGTTTAAAGTTGAATTATTTTCAAATTTAAAAATATGTCATTTATTTTGGAACAGACTAAAAAGAAAATATCACATCTAATTTGAAACGGAGGATCTATTATTTAAGCAAATAATATATTAGACGAAATGAGTAAAAGCGAGGCAGGATGGTAAGGAGGGTTGGAGTAGCGGTGGCGATGCTTCGGAGGTTGGTGGGTGGGGGTGGAGATGGGAAATAGTGTGGGAAATGTTGACAAAAAATTTTAGAAAATATTTTTTAAAATTTGAATGAAGTGAGCTTTTGACTTGCACTTTGTCCCTCATTGGTGAGGGACAACTACATTTGTGTGCTTATATATAGAATCACTTCTTAAAGGTCTTAAAAGGAGTTGAAGAGAATGAACCCTCGCGCCGTCGTCATCGCTCAGCTCGGCTATTTGGATTTGGATTTGGTTTTGGATTTGTCAAATGATCGATCGATAAGATTATTTTTTGGACAAAATTTATTTAATTAATTATTTAATAATTAATTAAATGCCAGATCACTACTGAAGATTCAGAAGGATAGTCTGGCCGCGGTCCTGGCGTAACCGCGGTAGGACCGCTCCAGAACCCTGCTGCAGATTCAAAGGGCCACTCTAGCCGCGGTCCTGGCGTAACCGCGGTAGGACCGCGGCAGGCCGCGTAAACTTCTGAAAAGGCACATTTTCCAGAACAAACATCACACCTCTTCCAATAATTGCCTATAAATTTTGAGGCATGGCTTCGTTTTTAACACACCAAAAATATTACAGAACTTCTTTCTTTATGAAAATACTGCATTCTAATTCGCAGTCTCTCTCTCTCAAATCGTAAGTGTGATTTTGTTCCGTTCTTTAAGTTCGTTGGTATCCTGCAGTTTGTATTGCCACTGTTGCAGGAAGGTTTATTCCGTTTTATCCTGGGAGGATTTAATCCATTACCTTGGCAACGTGTGAGGGGGTTAAAATTCCTTAAGGACGCACAAGCAAATTGTGGACTCGGAATATTTCTTAATCTTTACTGTTTTTCCAGTTTCTTTTATTCTTCTAACAGTTTTTCTGATTTTGTGTTTTAACACAGTAGCAACAACAAGCTTAAGGAATTTTAAATACTAACATTCTGTGTTGAAATATATATTAAACTGTTATCTATATTTTGTATACTGGTTTGGAGACTAAAGCCTTCGTGCTTTCTACTCCAATAATTGTTCTGTCCGGTTTAAAGTATATCAAAATTTTATCGGAATAATAAATGTACGGGTTTGAAGTATATAAAAACTTCACCATTGTTACGTGTTGTATGTTTGGTTTGGTATTCAGTTTGAAGATATCAAAACTTCACTGATTTAACAAAGTTATGTTTCCAACTCTACAGAAAAATGACGAATGAAAACCAAACTAATGAAAATATTGCGGGAACGGGTGCTACTGTTACGAGTGTTGCTGCCTCGTCAAGCCGTTCAACTCCTGCTCATGCTATGGCACCAGCAGAAAAACCCGGAAAGTTTTCCGGTATTGACTTCAAACGTTGGCAAATGAAGATGCTCTTCTATCTTACTACGTTGAGTTTGCAGCGATTTATCAAGGAGAATCCTCCGGTCCTGGCTGAAGTCCGGATGACGAACAATTTCGTTGTAACTAAAGCATGAAAACATTCTGATTTCTTGTGCAAAAACTACATTTTGAGTTGTTTGGAAGATAGCTTGTACAATGTCTATAGTGTTATGGAAACTTCAAAAGCGTTATGGGATGCGCTTGAGAAAAAGTACAAGACTGAGGATGCCGGACTTAAGAAGTTCGTGGCTGCAAGGTTTTTGGATTTCAAGATGATTGACACTAGGTCGATCATAACTCAAGTCCAAGAATTACAAGTCATTGTGCATGACCTCCTTGCTGAAGGTATGATCATAAATGAGGCCTTTCAAGTTGCTGCTTTCATTGAGAAGTTACCTCCGTTGTGGAAGGACTTTAAGAACTATCTTAAACACAAGCGGAAGGAAATGACACTTGAAGACTTGATTGTTCGTTTAAGGATAGAAGAAGACAACAAAAATGCTGAAAAGAAGTCACGTGGAAACTCGACAATAATAAGGGCTAACATTGTTGAGGAGGCGCCACAAAATAAGAAGAGGAAAAAGGCTTCTGGACCAAAGAATTACCCAAGCAAGAAAAAGTTCAAGGGTAATTGCCACAACTGTAGAAAGTCTGGGCATAAGGCCGTGGACTGTCGTGCACCAAAGAATGATGTACAAAAGAAAAACAAGAAGAAGAATCAAGCAAACATGGTTGAAAATGTTGAAGACATGGAGGACTTGTGTGCCATGTTGTCTGAATGCAACTTGGTAGGAAATTCTAAAGAATGGTGGATAGATTCTGGAGCCACCCGCCATGTTTGTGCTAACAAGGAGTTATTTTCTTCTTATGCCCCCGCATGACCCGACGATACAATTTTCATGGGAAATTCATCTACAGCCAAAATTGAAGGAGTTGGCAAGATTGCGTTGAAGATGACGTCGGGAAAAATAGTGACTCTAAACCAAGTTCTCCATGTTCCAGAAATTCGCAAGAATCTGGTGTCTACCTCACTTCTTGTCAAGAATGGATTCAAATGTATTTTTGTTACTAATAGTGTTGTACTAAGTAAGAATGATATGTATGTAGGAAAAGGTTACCTGAATGAGGGCATTTTTAAGCTAAATGTAATAGCAGTTCCTATCAATAAAGTTAATGTTTCTTCTTACTTACTTGAGTCAAACACTTTATGGCATTCACGCTTAGGTCACATCAACTTCAAAACATTGCGAAAAATAATAAATTTAGAAGTATTGCCAAAATTTGATTGCATTAATTCCAAATGTCAAATATGTGTGGAATCAAAGTATGCTAAGCATCCTTATAAGTCCGTTGAAAGGAATTCAAGTCCTTTAGACTTAATTCACACAGATATTTGCGACATGAAGTCAACACCATCTCGCGGTGGAAAAAAGTATTTTATTACTTTTATTGACGATAGCACGAGATATTGCTATGTTTATTTACTTAATAGTAAAGATGAGGCAATTGATGCTTTCAAGCAATACAAGAGTGAAGTTGAAACACAACTAAACAAAAAGATCAAAATGATAAGAAGTGATAGGGGTGGCGAATATGAATTTCCTTTTGAAGAAGTATGTTTGAAAAATAGCATTATTCACCAAACAACTGCCCCTTACTCTCCACAATCTAATGGAATTGCGGAGAGAAAGAATCGAACGTTGAAAGAGATGATGAATGCGTTGTTGATAAGTTCAGGTTTACCACAGAACTTGTGGGGGGAAGCTATAGTTACAGCTAACCGAATAATTAACCGTGTACCTCATAGTAAAACACAGTCCATTCCCTATGAAAAATGGAAAGGAAGGAAGCCCAGCTTGAAATACTTCAAAGTGTGGGGGTGTTTAGCTAAGGTACAAATTCCTAAACCTAAAAGGGTTAAGATAGGTCCAAAAACGGTTGATTGTGTATCTATTGGATATGTAACCAATAGCAAGGCATATCGTTTTCTGGTTCATAAATCAGAAAATCCTGAGATTCACGTTAATACGATAATAGAATCAGATAAAGCTGAATTCTTTGAAACTATTTATCCGTATAAAAAGGAAAGTGAAGTGACCTACCAAAAGTCAAAACTACCTCGAGAAAATAACAGATGGTATGCCTAATGAGGAAAATCCGAGAAGAAGTAAACGTCAACGGACATCTACTTCATTCGGTCCAGATTTTCTGACTTTCTTGCTAGAAAATGAGCCTCTTACCTTCAAGGAAGCAATGTCTTCCTCAGAAGCACAATATTGGAAAGAAGCTGTCAATAGTGAAATAGAATCCATGTTGAGCAACCATACCTGGGAATTGGTTGATCTTCCTCCAGGTAACAAAACATTGGGTTCTAAATGGATTTTCAAGAAGAAAATGAAAGACGATGGTACTATTGACAAATACAAGGCAAGACTTGTTGTCAAAGGATTTAGACAGCGAGAAGGTCTTGACTATTTTGACACATACTCGCCGGTAACAAGAATTACATCCATTCGGATGCTAATAGCGTTAGCCGCATTGTATGGTCTTCAAATCCATCAAATGGATTTAAAAACAACCTTCTTAAATGGTGATCTAGAGGAAGAAATTTACATGAACCAACCCGAAGGGTTTGTGGTTTCGAGAAAAGAAAAGAAGGTGTGTCGACTTGTTAAGTCCCTTTATGGACTAAAACAAGCACCCAAGCAATGGCATGCGAAATTTGACCAAACAATGTTGAGGAAAGTGACTCTTTCCGATTCATGTCTGGCCCTTCCTGGATCTGGATCACAGTATACCGGCGAATGGCTTTAAGATTAATGAATGTGATAAATGTGTTTACATTAAGAACGTTCCAAATCATATAGTCATTGTTTGCTTATATGTTGATGATATGCTAATAATGAGCAAAGACATTGCCGACATTCAAGCTACTAAGCGTATGCTTGCTAGTAAGTTTGATATGAAAGACTTAGGAGTTGCCGATGTAATTCTAGGAATTAAAATCCAGAGGACTCCTCAGGGTCTAGCTTTGTCTCAATCACATTACGTGAAAATGGTACTTGAAAAATTCAAACACTTGGAATTTAGAAGTGCAAGAACTCCAATTGACTTAAATCATCATCTTATAAAGAATAAAGGAGAAAGTACGTCTCAATTGGAGTATGCTCGTGTGTTGGGAAGCTTAATGTACATCATGAACTGTACACGACCTGATATAGCTTGTGCAATAAGTAAACTTAGTCGATTCACAAGTAATCCAAACAAACATCACTGGGTAGCAATGAAACGAGTTCTGGGATATTTGGAATATACCCAAGACTACGCTTTGCACTACAATAAATATCCTGCAGTTATCGAAGGATATAGTGATGCAAATTGGATAACCGGCTCAACAGAAACAAAGTCCACAAGTGGATATGTTTTTACTGTTGGTGGAGGAGCAGTATCTTGGAAGTCTTCCAAACAAACGTGCATCGCTCGCTCTACAATGGAATCAGAGTTTATAGCTTTGGATAAAGCCGGTGAAGAAGCTGAATGGCTTCGAAATTTCTTAGAAGACATTCCGTTCTGGCCAAAACCTTTGGCTCCTATTTGCATACATTGCGATAGTGAGGCTGCAATAGGACGGGCAGGGAGCGTTATGTATAACGGAAAGTCTCGGCATATACGACGAAGACATAACACCGTTAGACAACTACTTTCTAGTGGAATTATCACTATTGATTATATAAGATCAAAGGATAATGTGGCGGATCCGCTTACAAAAGGCTTAACTAGAGAGGGAGTTGGGAAATCATCTAAGGGAATGGGACTATGGCCGAGGACAAGTCAACATGGCGATAACTCTACCTAGAATTTTGGATGTTCCGAGATCTAGGTTCAAGGAGCTCAAATAAAGTTGTAATTGACCGGTTCAACATTGTCAAAGTAAAATCTTTGGTCCCTTCTCGTGATAAAGACAATGTTCAGTAACAAGGATAGAATTTTACACGTTCTTTAATGATTACCTAAGTTTGATGTGGTATTTATCAAATAGTGTCAATCTAAAGGATTACACGTTTAGGAATCACCTATGTAAGTGTGAAGTGGAAGCCGCTTCAATGAGAATTCTGTAAGGCCAATTCTCTACACACTTATGAAACCAGGAGGTGTTCATGGCTGAAACGAACACAACAATGAGAACCAAAAGACGGTTAAGGGTTGGTTGTGTGACATATAGTTGTCTAGGTATACACTAAAGTTCGACGGTTCAAAGATATCAAATCTACCGATTGACCGAGTATATCCGATATATGTTCACTACGGAAAGTTCAAAGGGAAACCTACTTATCTAGATGCGATTAATCCTTACTTGCAAATCACACAGCTTTCATCTATGATCATTCTTGTTACATCCATTCCCATTCATGTGGGGGATTGTTGGACTTTAAAGGCATTGAGCTTCAAAGACTTTAAGTATTGGGCTTTAAAGTATAAGAGTGTGAATTGGAAATGGTGGGAAATAAAATGGAGGGAAATGAAAATTTGAATGAAGTGAGCTTTTGACTTGCACTTTGTCCCTCATTGGTGAGGGACAACTACATTTGTGTGCTTGTATATAGAATCACTTCTTAAAGCTCTTAAAAGGAGTTGAAGAGAATGAACCCTCGCGCCGTCGTCGTCGCTCGGCTCGGCTTTGGCTTTGGCTTTGGCTTTGGCTTTGGATTTGGATTTGTCAAATGATAGATCGATAAGATTATTTTTTGGACAAAATTTATTTAATTAATTATTTAATAATTAATTAAATGCCAGATCACTGCTGAAGATTCAGAAGGATAGTCTGGCCGCGGTCCTGGCGTAACCGCGGTAGGACCGTGCCAGAACCCTGCTGCAGATTCAGAGGGCCACTCTGGCCGCGGTCCTGGCGTAACCGCGGTAGGACCGCGGCAGGCCACGTAAACTTCTGAAAAAGCACCTTTTCCAGAACAAACATCACACCTCTTCCAATAATTGCCTATAAATTCTGAGGCATGGCTTCGTTTTTAACACACTAAAAACATTACAGAACTTCCTTCTTTCTGAAAATACTGCATTCTAATTCGCAGTCTCTCTCTCTCAAATTCGTAAGTGTGATTTTGTTCCGTTCTTTAAGTTCGTTGGTATCCTGCAGTTTGTATTGCCACTGTTGCAAGAAGGTTTATTCCGTTTTATCCTGGGAGGATTTAATCCATTACCTTGGCAACGTGTGAGGGGGTTAAAATTCCTTAAGGACGCACAAGCAAATTGTGGACTCGGAATATTTCTTAATCTTTACTGTTTTTTCAGTTTCTTTTATTCTTCTAACAGTTTTTCTGATTTTGTGTTTTAACACAGTAACAACAACAATTTTTTCTATTTTTGGCAAGGAAGTCACTTTTTTTCATTGGAGTTTAATAAATTCATGAGAAAAATATTTTCTAAATATTTGTAGTTTATGTACAAAGGATAAAACTCAAAAATAAGACAACTAAATAAATCAATAAAAAACACGGTTTATTTTAAAAAACGAAATCAAATAAAAAAGAATATAGTGTTGTATGGGAAGAAGAGGAGAGGAAAGCCCGAAAAGGACGGGACGAAGAAGAAAAAAGGGAGAAAAAACAAAAAGCGTGTCCGAGATTTGGCGGACTGGATTCTCTCTTTTTGTTTTCATCTGACCTAAAAGTAAAACACAGTCCGTCCACAAGAACTTTTTCACTATTTCCTGCCCTAAATTAATTAAATTTTCCCTGTCACTGCACGCAGTAGCTGCGTCTACGCGGCTACTCCTCCATCCTTACATTTAATTTTCCCCATTAATGTTCCATTCTCTACAATTTGAAATTTGAAAATTGAAATTGAACTTGAAATAGCTATATGTCAGTGTAGGTATTACTCATATTTCACAAGTGAATTTACTTATTGAAGAAAACAATGGGCGGCTACCGAGCTGTTGCGGCAGTCAGCGGTGATTCTTCTAAATCCTCGGCTGAATCTAGCTTTCGAGAACTTGATGATGTCTTCTTGCAGGTCTTTTTCTTTTTATTTTCTCTGTGAAATTCAGTTCTCACCTGTCAGTGTGTGTGTGTGTGCGCGCGCGTTGATAAGGATGATGTATATTTCAGACTCAAACGAGAATATGGCTTGGGGAAGTTCTGAAGATGAGGTTTGACGAGCACCTACATATTTCTGATTTGCTTGCCGATGGAGATCTTCTGTAAGTTTGACTAGTTCTTCTAGTTCTTGCACCTTGACACTGTATCATTTCATTTCCCAATTGTTGGCTTAAATTTGGTGTTTACTTGTATCCTCTTTGGCTCCGAAGAATATTGTAGCTTACTAGATTGTCAAAGGGATATGGCCTTGTATTTGTTATGACCTCAATATTTCAAATCAACCAAGCTGGTAATTTCACTTCAATTTAACTAGACGAAAAAATCGCAATTACAATGGAATTATGAAAATAACAAGGAAACTGATTAACTGCTACTACAATTATGGAAACTAGATAGCAATTACAACTGAAATATCAGCTAACTACTGTGAGTCGCAGCTTCAGCTTAACAACTCCAATTCCTCAAAACTTCAGACACCAACATCAACTGCATTCGCTATTTCAATAACCCTGCGATAAGAACTTAAGTGAGAAACTAATGGAGATAGAGTTTCAGAGAAGAAGAAGAGAAAAGAATCAAGAAGGGAAAGGATTCAGAGAGAAGAGAGAGAGGGAGAGAGAGCTAAGAGAGAAATGCTCGAGGAAGGAGAGTAATTTTGCCAGAATTCATTATGCCCGATCCCACACTGATTAGAGCTATTTATATCCTTTCTGAGAGTTGATCTGGGCCGTAGGTTGCAATGAATCCTAGCCATCCACGTCAGATTAACTAATTTTTGAATTAGCTGTTAATCTTGTTTAGCTGCTAACCTTTCCAACTGTGTCGTTTCTCTTTTCTTTTCCTTCTCTTTATGTCACGAATATAACAGTATTAACATTTGGAAGTGATAACTTGTGTAGGTTTGAAGTCTCCAAAGTATTATGGAATATGCTATTGGCCAAGTGTGGCGAGCTAAGACATTTGAAGTATGAACCACTTGGTTCACGGAGATGCAGTGGGAGATACATGCCTTACTCTAATGTTGACTCATTCTTGAAGGTAAGTCATAGCTGCATCCTAGTCTGATTTGGCTCTTTTCAACGGCCGATAATGCTATTTAAGAGGGGGATAGCCTTAATGAGACCCGAAAAAAGGGGATAGCCTTGTAATCCCTTGTTTTGGCAGATCTGCAAAATACTGGGATTAAATGGTATCGATCTCTTCTCCCCATCAGATGTTGTTGAGAAAAAGAACATTCGTAAAGTTTGTATTTGCATAAGGGCACTTTCAAATAAGGCCCGTTCCAAACAATTGAAGGTATGAATCTTTTCCCAGAGGCTATTCACTTCCTTCTGAAGAAGTTCTGCTTCTTTGTCTCGTTCTTATGTTCCCTGGGTTGCTAGTTATACTTACTTCTGCAATAAACCTGTTCGTATCCCTTAGGTTCCTGACTTTGACTTGGTGACCTATACGGTAGTCATGCCAAAAGATATGGTAGGTGGCATTAGAAGAAGCTTGGAGACATCAAGCAGCCTTTCAAGTTCTTCTGGTTATTACTCGTATAAAGAAAAAAGATCAAAACATATGGAGGTATGGTTAAATGCATCATTAGTAGAAAATATCTCCTTATAACAAAAATGCATACACCTTTATATTAGAGATGCTAATGTATCCATATGTATGCTATAGAGAAATAAAACCAGAGAATCTGAAGGAAACTATGATTCTTTATCTGAAGAATCTGACGAGGCTGAGAGTAAGTTTGTGGGAGAAGAGTCTTGTTGCTCATCTACGAATCAGCTTGAAGATGATAACGCCACAGATTCAGATGCAGACAATTCTATCGACGAACATTCATCTGTTAGAAAGAATGGCAGAGAGAAAATTAGTGTACTCTCATGTTCTCATGACCATCATGTTTATAACTGTGATTTCTGCAAGTGCGGATCAGAATTATCTAAAACTCTTCCATCTCAGTGTGCTAGGAATGACCGTACAGAAGATAGCTGTTCATCAGTTTGCACCAATTCTCAATCAAGATCACATCATAGAACTTCTCCAGGAAATGGAGGGAAGTATAGTACTGCCAATGATAGGATACACTTTGATTATAGTGACCTTAACGTGGTAAATGATGAGTCAGTTGTTGGAGATTCTATGTATGACAATGAAGTGGAAAGTAGTTATATATCTAACTACTTAGCATTCTCTGATTCAGTTATTGGTGGAACTGATGGAAGTACTCCTGTACTGCGGAAAGGTGAAGATAATATTTTGAACCTTTTTATGGCTATTGATTCTCATGAACCAAATTTAAGTGAAGGGACTTCCCAAAACGGACTTCGGAATAAATTTTCTGATACTGAAGATGCAGAAGTTTCATCAACCACTAGCATGAGTTCTGTATTATGTCGGGTGCGTGCTTTGGATTTCGATGACCAATTTGATGCAGATGATTGTTTAACAGCAGAAACTCCTTGTGCCTTGCTGGAAAATGATGCTGATAGGCAGTATAAGTATGCATCTGCAAGTCATAATGCATTGAATGTTGCAACCAACGAGCTCATGTTTCATGATACTAAAGAACCTTCTATAGTTAAACCTAAAATTTCTGCTAGTCTCAGTGAGCTGACATATTCCTGTCCAGATGAATTGCAATTTGCTGCCAGAGAGCCTCTTACTGATAAAATTGTCTCATCGCACGGAAATAGCTCAAATTATTTTGATGAAGAAATGGAGTCTGCAAGAAGTAAAGATAAGTTTGTTGATACTGCATGCAGAAATAATCTTAAGAATGTGTCTTTAGTTAACACTAGTGAAGGATGTGATGGTGATTCACAGTATCTGAAATTTGTTTCTGATGAAGTCAGTAGTACATGTGAATCATCCTTGACTTTGGATGGTGTTAACATGGATCAAAATTCTGTTATTTCTGCAAATTGTTGTGAGCATATTGAAAAAGGATACCCCTGTTTCTGCTCCTCTGTCTACGATTCAGGAGATGCAAGTGAAGTTTGTGAACCAACAGTTCCAGGAGATGATGTAAGTATTCCTCATTGCAAATTTTCTTGAACTAACTCTTTTTAATTACAATTTCAAGGCTTTGCCTTTCAATCACATTGGTAATTTCTGTTTTCTTTTTGTTAAATAGGATGATACAAAACATAAAGTTTCATATGTGTTGGAAGAAAATGCTTCACAGAGGCGGCAAGAAACAGATGCTGGTCAATTAAATGACAAACATCGACATAGGCCATTGCTGAAAACAGTTGCCAGAGGCACTGCACTTGTTGGTGTATTGTGTCTGTTGCTGCATTTCAGGTTTGTATTTCTGGTCCTATTTCATTTGTTATTTTGTTTCCTCTCTCGATTAGTGGCAATCTTCTCTATTTGGTCAATCACCATAAATCTTGTGCCATTTACATTGACAGTCGTAGGAGAAACAAACAGGAAAGCAGTGAAGCCGGCAGTAGACCAACTCAAAGTAAGAAGTTCCGTGGCAGAGATTTCTCGTATGGGGATGGACAAAATGGACGTCGAGTAGATAGAGTTTATCCTTCTGAAAAACTCAAGTTCAAGAATTAGATTCTGGATCTGTGAGACTTAGTAAGAGGCATGGCTGGTTTTTCATACGTTCAGCCCATCTCATTTTTAGGTAGAATAAGCATGAGGTATGGTTCATACGCTAATAGCACGTTGAATGGTAAATTTTAGGTTTCCCTATGCCGCTTAAAGAAGAAAACAAGAAAAGTAAATAGCTGCTTACTTCCATGAGTTAATGTAATCTTGAAGGAATTAACGGCTACAATCTCTGTAGTAGGCACAAAGCATGTAATGATGGCAAAGTAGCATCTTGTACCCATTTGTTAATTCGTACATCACGTAGAGTACTGTTTATATACTTCATCTTTTTTTTTTTTAAAAATGATGTCCTATGAGGAACATTTATTTCTTTTATTGGCGAAATACATAAATAGCCCCTTTAAGTTGTCCTTGGCAATCAGATTAACAATTCAACTGAGCCCCTTTTTATTTTGACACTTCAAGTGGCTATTAAGTTGATCAAGTTAACACCCGAGTATAGCAGATTCTATGTGTGACTTGCACTTTCCAATGACATATCAAATGGATCAATCAAAAATTACAGGTGTAATTTTGCCATAAGAATTTGACACATAATTAACCAAAAAAAAAAAAAAAAATACATTTTAAGACAAACATAACCTTCTTTTCCTAAGCAAGCCCCCCACATCTTCATCCGCCCATCCCGTCTACTTAAATCCACCAGATTGTCCTAGAATAATGCATTCAGCCAAAAGATCCACCAGATTGTCCTAGAATAATGCATTCAGCCAAAAGATCATAGATCAAAACCGACAAATTGATAATTAAGAACCAATTCCCACCAATAATATTCCAATTGGAATGTTTTAAATGTCTTAACATCAATTTAAGAAGCAGACAGCAAGTGGGTTTCTTCCAAATAACTAATTGTACAATACCGCTTGAAGTTCTTGAGAATATGAAGGTGGAGGGGTAAAGACGTGACTAGCAGAAGGAAGATGGAGAAATAAAGGATGAAGTGAAAATTAGGGTTTGGATTTGCGCTTAAATTAGAGATTTCACTAAGGTATATTGCATTACCATTTATTATAGGCAATGTGTGTCTCATAGAGTGTATAACACGCAAGATGAGCTGACTGGATCGGATGTTTACTTGACCTACTTAATAGCCACTTGAAATATTAAAAGGGGACGTTTATGTATTTTGCCTCTTTTATTTCATATTTTATCTTTTGAATCATGAAAGAAAAAGTTTCTAACTAGACACTTGTGAAAAGGGACAAAAAAGAAAAGAAAAGATACAACCCTTCTCCCAAGAAATAAGGTCATATTTCCTTAAGATATGCATTTAAATCAGAGCCATCGTAATCAGTTGAATCGATCAAAACACTACGATTGTTGCACGTTGTATATGCATGATCCCTTGGAGGCCATTGGGGTTGATTTGAGGAGGATTCGAACGATGGTAGAAGCTGAAAATTTGCAGAAGGCCGTGGCTGCTTGAGGAATGCTGCTAACGCAAACGCCAGAAAACTTGCATGAATCGCGAAGGCGGCCTGCATTCCGCGAAAGCGAAAGAATGTTGTCCAGAAATTGTAGAACTCAAATTGACTACAATTGTTACACAGGTATTTCTGCACTACTGAAAATTTATGCAGTTTGTGATTGAACTTAGAGTTATGATGCTGAAGTTTGAAACAAAAAGCTTTGCTAAAATTTAGTTGCAGCTATGGTCTAATTCCTGACACTGATTTGTTGGCATAGGAATTCATATGGTTTACCAGTTGATTTTGATTTACAGAAGACTCAAAAATTGAAAGAAGAAGACAAGATGAAGCAGAGAGGAAAGATAAAGTTGATCGGCTTTGGTCAGACTTTGAAGACTTTGAATTGTCTGAAAGATTCGAGATATATAATCAAGCATCATGACCGTTCATCTATTAATTGCATGATTCAATCCTAGCCATTGATATTAGAAGAGGTTACATATTTGTCAAGAATTGTATTTTGCATATTTTAGATGATTCTTACATACGTGTATTGTTACTAGATAAAAGAGAATTTTTATTGTTGTATAGCAGGTCATGGTAGTTACGCATTAGCTAGTAGAAAATAGGCAAGTGTACAAATAGGATTTCATTATTTTCTTCATTCTCTTGTATTTATATCCGTATAAAAAATCATTGGAATACACAGAAAATTTCCAGCAATATATTCTCATCAGTAGATTTTCTTTTAACGTCTAACATGGTATCAGAGCCCTAGAGGCACGATCCATCTCTCAAATTTTCACTCTTCATCTCTGTTCTTCATTTTTTTTTCCAGCTTCTCTTTTCTGCTAAAAGCTAGTTTACAATGGGAGAGCATTCTGATGTTCAATCTGTCACTCCTAAGGTAACATATGTTGTTGCATCTGGTGTGTCTGGGAGCTTGATCCCAGACTCTTCTCACCCCTTTTACCTCCATGCCCCAGACTCACCTGGTATGATTTTGGTGAACTAAGTTTTCGATGACAAGGGATATAGAGGCAGGCGCAGAGGGATACTTATAGCCTTGTCTACTAAGAACAAGGTGAGATTCATAGATGGAACCTTTGCTCAACCTAAGATCTCTTCAGATTCCTTCAAACCTTGGTCCGGGTATAACGACATGGTGATTTCCTGGTTATTGAATACTCTTTCTAAAGACATCGCAGTAAGTGTTCTCTATTCCACAACAGCTAGGAAGGTCTGGATTGAGTTGGAAGAAAGATTTGGACAGAGCAATGGGCCACAGCTCTATCATCTGCAAAAGGAAATCAGTCAAACAGTGCAAGGCAACATGGACATTCCTACTTACTACACCAAACTCTAAAGGCTTTGGGATGAGCTCGATAGCTTGGATACATGTCAACACTGCACTTGTTAATGCAGTTGTGGAGGCAAGACCAAGAGTTTCAAATCTCAACAAGATGGAAGGCTAATTCAGTTCCTTATGGGACTGAATGATGCCTATTAAGCTGCCAGAACTAGCATGATCATGCTTTCCCCTTTGCCTTCAATCGACCATGCTTACTCTTTGCTCATCGGGGATGAAAAACAAAGAGAGGTGCATATAATTCAACATTTTAGTGATGGAGCTTTCCTGGCAGCAAAACAGTTGGGAGTTCAAAGATTCAACTTAGAGAAAAGGAGCTATTCAGATGCAAAGAAGTCTGCCTAGTTTTGCAATTACTGCAAAAAGCAAAACCATATCATTCAGAACTGCTACAAGCTGAAAGGTTTTCCTGTAGACTTCAAATTCGTCAAGCCAAGGAAGTTCAATCCAGGTGCTAAGAGAATGTTGTTTTGCCTGCAGAAGAAAATGGATCTCAGTCAGAAACTCCTATTTATTGTGAAAGACGTGCCTAAACCTATTTAAGTTAGTTTGCCTAATTCTCATAGAGTCTTAGTTTTTCAGTCAGGTTATGTTACCTTATTACCTAATTTCATTCTTCAGAATGCCCTATTTGTCCCTTGTTTCAATTACAATTTATTGTCAGTTCATAAATTATGTGTTCAATTTCATTCTATCGTAATGTTTTCTTGTAAGGCCCCGTGAAAAATTTATGCTCAAAACCTAGTAGCTCGTAGGGTCAGGTTCCGAATATGTGTTGGGAATGTGTAAGCTCGCCGCGGTTCGGACCATTGTACTGATCTAAGTATTTAAAAATCAAAGAACCAAGTTTTTCCAGAAAAGTGCTATTTTGCGGTCCAGAATGCGGTCGAAAATCAAGTATGCGGACCGCATTTCTGCCGCAGATTGAGTCAGTGGTTTGGTTAAAATTTGAGGTCAAAATGCGGTCCATTATGCGATCGCATAACTGATATGCGGACCGCATTTCTATCGCAAAATGAGTCCATGTGCCAGTCAAATTTGAGGTCAATTATGCGGTGCATTATGCGACCGCAAATCGTGTATGCGGACCGCATTTTTGCCGCAAACCCAGACAGTAGGATTAGAGTTTTGGAGCACTTTTGGGTCCATTATGCGGATCGCATTTCCACTCTGTGATCGCAAAGTGCGATCGCAAACCTGACTCGGGCTCCTATTTTTCTAAATTTTAAACCCGACCCCCTTTTTAATAAAATACCCCAACCCCTCATTTTTACATACCTTCTGAGCAAAATAAGAGAGAGAGGGAAGAGAGGGTTCTTGAGAGAGAAAGCTCATCTTCATCAATTTGATTCTTCAAAACCATCCAGGCCAGGAAATTTCAAGTAATTGTCTTCTTCTCCATTCTTGCAGGTAAAATCCCCAACCCTTTTTCTTTGAATTTTAGGTTTAAACATAAAGGGGGATTCTCATGCATTGATTCTTGAAAACAAAGTTGAAACATACATGCATGTCTTTTAAAACCTAAAACCTAGTAAGGGAAATTGGGTAGAAGCAGAGGTTTGCAAAAGAAGGGTTGATGACCTAAATATGGGTGGTAATTGTGAGCTTCAATTCTAAGATATATGTGTTAACTTGTGCACTAGATTGACGTTGCTAGACTGTTTGGTGAATTGAAAGTAGAAGTTAAAAGGGAATTCGGCTCCAGGTATGTATGGATAACTTTAACCTTTGTAGAGTCACCTTGTTTGGTGTACGAGTATTTGGTATGTGTTACTTATGTGGACTATTTGTGAATTTTGGTTGCTTCACGGGTGTTAAGGCAAGATTACCTATTTCATGAATTCTTGCGATTAATATGCCTTGAACATTGTTGGTTAAACGTTCCGATATGATGGTGTAGATAAATGGCTACAAACCATATGTGTGTGTAAATGTGTTTATGTGGTAAGGGCTGTGTAGTAAATGATGGAAAGAAGTCGTAATTGATACAAATAAAAACTCTTTGTGAATTGTTATTGTTGTTGTGAAATGATATTCTGGATGGCCTGAAGCCATGTGATTGAACTGTGGACTATTGTTGTTGTGTGAAATGTGATTGTCCGGCGGGATCGGGTTGCGCGCCGCAACACAAAATGATAAATTGTGGGTCGGGGTGATAAGGGTGGCCGAGGTAATAAGGGTGGCCGAGGTAATAAGGGTGGAAAAGTGATCGAAATCACTATTGAAATGAACATATGTGAAAGTTGTGAAATCATTGATGTGATGAAATGATGTTGGAAGGGAAAATGAGAGATTGTGAAACTTGTTTGACTTTGGTTGTTCCTTTCATGTGCATTTGATTGTTGATTCTATTATTGTATGTGACTTGTGTATTGTTTGAGTTTACTTGGGGTAAAGTTCGTTCATACATACCAGTACAATTCAAATGTACTGACGTCCCTTTTGCCGGGGGCGCTACATTCGTGTTATGATTGTAGGTGGATCTATAGCGGTACTCCAGTCCACTGTTCGTAGCATTCCTT